TATGTATGTATGTATCTATGTGCATACATCTATTAATTTTATATAAAAAGAATAAATTGTATTCAGTGCATTTCACAGTCTTATTTATAGATAATGTAAACAAAAACGCCTGGACTTCCACTTTGAAAACGTCGCGCAATATCCCTTCTGGTTGCCATTATTTGAGCCAATTTTTCGTGTTGCCCGTATTACCGCTCGCGAAAACACAGAAATCGAGAAAATTCATTTATGATACCTTTTACAATCATGCACAGTATATTTTTCTTAAATTTTTTATAAAATTTTATTATTTAAACCTACGAAAATAACAATCGAAACGTCCTGCGTCAACAAATTTGCAACTTAGAAAAACGGAACTACGATCGGAATGTAGAATAGGTATAATCGTAAATTTCGAAGATTGATCGAAAGGAAACGGAACGCAGAATACCAAAGTTGCCAAACGGAGAAAATTTCGATTCGAGTCGAAATGCAGAATAGGGCTGAATAAGTCAGTTTCACGCTAGTCCTTTTAAAGTAAATTTGTGCATAACATTTAGATATCTACTATTTGTATGTTTCACAGCATGCTTTCGATAAACATCGACTTCACATCACTGCGGTTGTGCTGGCTATTTCACACAATTAACAAGAAAATGATACCTTATTCTTTTACATAATCATGCAATGAAAATAAAAATTACATAAACGGATGATCAAACTTGACATTATTTAATAAAAATGTAATTTTTCCAAAATATCGTAAAGAAAAATCGATACATTTTCACACTCATTTTGCTATATCGTAAACTAAGTCGAAGCTACTTAGTAGAAGTCTGAAATGCGACATTGAATAGAGGGAAATTTTAAGTTGGTACTTAAATTTAAGTTGCAACTTTGTTAGTTTCGACTTAGTTGCTGGACTATGAATACGCGCCAATGATATGAAAGGTACTCTGCTGACAAAAAACTGTATTCGTAATGGGAATGCAATTTCAACCAGAGTCGACTTAGAAACCCGACAGATACTACGACAAAGAAATTGAAACGTATGATGAAGAAAGTCGGACTAACAAGAAATATACTTGTAGATCCTGTTTTTTGCCCATCTGAAAGAGCTTTAAAATTCTTTACAAATTTCTTACGCTTCAAATGGAACCGTGGACGCTAGCTGGCAGGAGAAACTGGCAAATTCCTGCAAATTTGCGTTCGTCGGAAATTTGCAAGTTTGCTACCATCTATTATTTTGAGTGATAATTCTCACTAGATTTAGGACGAACAAACCTACTGTCTTCCCAGAGTTTTACTTTACATCGAAATTTGTGCTCTTTTATTTTCATTTTCACGCATTTCAGTGTTGGTTCTTTTAACTCAAGTTGGCCTTCGGTTTTTGGAATTTAAATGAGTTCTCAGCAAAAAAAGTTTGTTTAAAAAAATACATATGTGTACTTGAAAATATCAATTTTTCCCTTACTTTAAAGCTTTAAGCGGGGGCAACAATGATGTTTTGTAATTAAGGCAGAATTGAATATGCGCTCTCTGGGAAGAGAATACCTGTAATATTTATTCCATGTATTGGCACTATATCCAAACACAAACGCGTGTTAAGCAAACAGTGAAACAATTTGTTATTTTCTAAGTTTGCGTATAAAATTTCACACTTAAATTTAAGACAGTCATAACAAACATTTTATGAAGAAATTCCCCGCTACGGTCTTCTTTAGAAAAATATATTCGTTTCAAATAAAAATAATCGAAATCGGCCCAATTTTATATAACCCTGCCTGACATGAAAACTTTCTCCGCGATAAGGCTAGTAGCCATTTCTAACAGATTTTGGGTCGCTTAGTCAAAACTGGAAACATATATATGTATTTGAATTTTAAGAAAACAAGGCAAATAGCAAAATCGGTCAAAAACGGCAATTTTTTTTGCAAAACGGCTAACAAATCGGCTGCCGGCTAAACCGAAATTTCTCCGGCTGTTTGCTATAGCAACCGGCTAAATCTAGCAGGAAAACGGCTAAAATGGCAACACTGCTTATAAGGTACGAATGCGCCGTGAATTACGATAATGTGAACATGCTTTTAGTCTAAATAAGAGAACGCAAACAAACAATAGCTAACGTTTGGGTTTTTTTCTAGTATCGCTCATAAAAGGTAACGAAACATAACCGATTCAAATCACTCGGAAACATTTTCCAAGCGATAACTTTACTCCGCTAGCGTTCGCGATAACTAACGCGAACAAAACAACTGAATGCAGAGAAATAGGGAAACAAAGGAAACATAAAGTTAGTGCTCACAACACAAAACGAAACCATTCGTTTAGTGATCTAAAGTATGCGGAATGAGATACGAACTGATGCAGTAAAAAGAAACAGTTATACTTTCGGATGCAACAAATATTGTTTTTCCATTCACATAGATATTGTCGAAATTTCCAAGATAAACTTTTATAGAAAAGACTCATGTCTATAACGAGGGATTTTTTAAAAATATTATTTTGGAACTTTATTGTGCCAATATGAGTTATTATTTGTTAACTATTTAGACGATAAACAGTTCAGAGTTAAATTTAGATGTCCATTTATGGTTCGCCAATGAAAAATATTTCCCTAATCCGCAGTTTATGATTCTTGTTACGGTCTCATTTCGCTGCAATGTTAAACATGCTTTTTCGCACTCGTGAGTTTTCCTTTTACTGTTTTCCTATTCTATAAAGCCGTCATTTCCTTTGTACATAAAGTTTTTTTTAAGTCTCATAGAGAATAAATTAAAAAGCACGTTACGTTTCGTGACATTGAGTTTCGGTATACAAAATTTACAACCAAATCTTCAGAGTTCGTTCGTTTCAAGGAAATTATTTCAGCATTATAATATACAACGAGATTATTTTTAGTGGAATGCTTGTTAAGATTACGCAGTAGATTTTGACTCGTGTGTTTACCACAATTTTTTAAAGTCTGCTTAGAAATTGTCCACATTTCATTCCGCATACGTTAAAATACATACATTACGATCACTTACGATTGCATATGAATTTGAGTTCTGATGATTGCATCATTGAAGGTATTCTTTAATTTATTAAGAACTCTTAAACGATACGCGTGCTGACAGCCGTACCTAAATTAGCGCGTTGAGCGTTTCGCTTGTATCTTTATCTCTCTCTGACGCATTAAATTTATATACGCTAGAAGAAGAGAGGCCGACAGGCCCAACGCTTGACGCGCTTATTTAGGTATGGCTCTGACTATGTTGACGTATTTCGATGATCCTTTTTATGATATTGGAGACGAAATTGTTTACTGACAAATTTAAACTTTTTTATATATTTTTCCGTAAAAAAAATTGTGACAAGAATTTGTCATTGACACAGAATAGAGCCATAAGTCTGTCGTATTTTTTTAATTATTTTTTTCCTTTATTTTATTAAATTTTATTTTATTTGATATTTGAGGTTTTTTTAAATTTATTTAGATAGGTACATTTTTATATCTTAATTTTATTTTCTAGTTCGAATTTTATTTATTTGTTATGTTTATTCTTTTCTTTATTGCCTTTCCTTTATTTACGTTTTGTATTTAAAAAATTTTAAAAATTTTCCCCGCTAAACCCAAATAGAAAATCCAAATCTAGCGAAAAAAACTAAAATGGTAACGCTGATTGGGACCGATAGCACAGGTCTGCGAAGGTTTCTCCCTTAAAAAATTAATAAGCAATTTGGGTAGGTGTTAGGTAGAAAGCTACGAAAAAAATAATACAAAAATTCCATCACGTAAATTTGCCGAGAAAATTCGTTTTTTTATTTTCGTTAACGTTACTGCGTATTAATAAGGCTAACTTCGAATTTCCATAAGTTTTCCTGATATACTTGGTCTTTAGGGCTCTTTTTAACTAAAACTGTTGGTTTTTAGCCAACAATTTTATTCAAAATAAATAAATTTTATTTTTTTTCATGAAAGTTAAAAAAAAATAAAAAAATGCAGGTGATTATTATCTTTTATTAAACAGGCTTAGGATGGTTTTCTTTTTTGAAAACTAATAAGCAATTTGGGTAAGTATTAGGTACTAAGCTACGCAAAACATAATAATTTTTCCCAAAAAATTACGTTTTTTTCTTAGTGTTACCGTGGAGATAACTTATTATTAACTAAAACTCTAGCTTTTTGAAAAAACATTTTATTTAAACTAAGTACACGAGTTAACATGAAATTTAAAAAAAAAAATCTTAAATATGCATGTTTTTCCTTTGAAAAACAAATACGCAATTCGAGTAGGTATTAGTACAAAGCTACGAAAACATTCCATCAGGTAAATTTTATAAGGAAATTACTTTTTTATTTTTCTTAGTATTACCGCGTATTGCTGACGTTAACTTTGCATTTTCAAGAATTTCTGATTTACTTAGTTTTTAGGAGCTTTTTAACTAATAATAATAATTAATTGCTTTTTTAAGTAATCAATTTTGGGGTTTTCATGAAAAATGTTAAAACTGACTTTTTTAATTTTTCTTAATGTTCCCGCGTATAACTAATCAGGTATATGTAACCGGAACGACAAAGATTTATATCTGGCTAAGGACTGTCACTCTAGCATCACTCCCCAAAAACTCGTTGGGGAATTTATATGCAACAGCGGTAACTTCGACCTTACAAATGCCTTTCTGATTTATTTAGTCTCTTTGGGGATATTTTTGACTAATACTGTTTGTTTTTTACGTAAAAGTTTGATTATAGTTTGATTAATTTTTGTCTTTCCACAAAAATTGTTAAAAATTCAAAAATATGTAAGTCATCGATAAAAAAAATAGCGAAGTGCTAGAAAAACAAGGCTGTATTTTAATCTAACGAACCTAGATATTTAAATAAATAACGTAATTTTTTGAAGAGGAAAATAAAAACAAATTTCTCCGGACATTTCTCGAAGAAAATAAATTACTGGAGAAAAAAAAGCAAGCATTCTCCACGTGACAAAGAAATATAGAAAGTTTTCAGAAGATTAGTTAGAGGTTATACTTACATCCGTAACGGCATTCGGATTTGCCTTGTGCCGCAACAATAGATTTATAACCATTGTATGCCCTTGTTGAGCGGCTTGATGCAACGGTGTATAGCCGACATTTGTACTCATTTCGATATTAGCATCATTTTCTAGCAAAAACTTTACCATATTTATTTGGCCATAGTGCGCAGCTATATGTAAAGGCGTGTAGCCAGCTTTGGTGCGCTCGGATATGTTAGCCTGATGATCGAGCAATATTCGAGCAATTGCAGTTTTATCTTCTTGGGCACACAGATGCAGTGGCGTCAAACCGTTCTTAGCTTGCACATTTGCGTCAACGCCATGCTCCAACAATAAATTCGTCATGTCAACGTGCCCTTCCTGTGCGGCTAAGTGCAAGGGTGAAAAGCCGGACTTGCTTCGTACGTCAGGATCAGCGCCGTACTGTAAAAGTTGCTGGACAATTTCCATTTCATTTTTCTTGGCAGCAATGTGTAATGCGCTGTGGCCATTTTTTGCACAAAGTAGCGGAGAAGCGCCATGCTCAAGTAGTAAAAAGACGACCTTTTGGTGATCAAAGTGCGCTGCAACATGTAGCGGCGTAACATCGTTCTTGCCTTGGCAATCGATCTTAGCACCTCTTTGCAATAGCAAAGCCACAACTTTGTCTTTGCCATATTTAGCTGCCAGATGCAAGGGTGTAAAGCCCTTCTTGGTGACCGTATCTAATTGCGCATTATTTTCTGTAAGCAGCTGTACCACCTCTTCTTGTCCCTCCTTAGCTGCGATATGCAAGGGTGTATACATGTCTTTAGTTGTAGTATTGACATTAGCGCCATGTTGCAACATCAGCATAATTATGTCGATATTACCAAGCCTTGACGCAACATGCAGTGGGGTTTGGCCTTCCCGGGCACGCGCCTCCACTTGGGCTCCATTTCGTAATAAAATTCGTATAATGTCAGTTTGGTTTGCTCTGGCCGCCAAATGCAGTGGCGTCTCTCCACGAACGGTGGGTGCGTCGGGGATAGCATCGTGTTGCAACAGATATATAACGATATTCATGCAGCCCATGAAACTAGCGACATGCAATGGGGTTAAACCAGACTCTGTTGTGGCACTTATGCTGGCTCCATGTTTTAGTAACAGCTCAACCACATTAATGCGGTTCTTTTTACAGGCGATATGCAAGGGCGTAAACCCATTTAGGGCGCGGGCATTTGGATCTGCATTGTAATTTAGCAGCAGCTTGGCGACGCGCACATGCCCGCAATGTGCTGCAACATGCAGCGCTGTTAGATAGTCGACAGTAACCTCATCGACGGGCGCCTTATGTGCTAACAATAACTGTGCTGCTTCGTCATGCTCGCCCTGCGCAGCCATATGAAGCGGAGCGAGACCATTCTTAGTCTTCGAAAGTATAGGGGACTTATACGCAAGTAATTTTTCGATTACTTCCACGTGACCCGATCGTGCGGCGCAGTGAAGCGGTGTGAGACCATCACGCGTAGTAGAATTTATGTTTGCATTTTTTGACAGCAACAGCTCCAGAATATTAGTTTTGCCCCATTTGCAGGCAACGTGCAGTGGTGTTATATTATGTTTTGCGGTAAAGTTTACATCCGCTCCATGCTCAATCAGTAACTTAGCAATATCAACGTTGCCGTAATGTGCTGCAATATGCAGGGGCGTGAAGCCAGACTTGGATACAATGTCGGGACTGGTTTCGCTTTGTAGCAGCAATGTAGCCGCGTTAACATCGTTTTTCTTAGCCGCAATATGCAACGCTGGGAGACGAACTTTACCTCGAACATCGCATTCCAAAAGCACCGCGACGACTTTGTCGTGGCCCTGTTGCATGGCAACAGCTAGTGGCGTGAATCCGTCCTGCAAATGCAAAAAAAAGTATATACTACATATCTGTGTTCATATGGAATAGTAGCTTATTTCAAAAGGCTGGCTTTAGTATGATGTGGCATTCCCTTTACCCTATCCCTATCATAAATAAAAATTCACTGAGGATTTTTTACTTTAAATGGCAGAGTTGAGCTGTCAAAAAAGTGTCTAACAGCTCTTTCGAAGCTCGAATTTCCTCCTTCCAAATTTTCGACGAAAATGCTACTCCCTGGGAGTTAATTATTGGAGGATTTCTTTCTCGGGAGAAACAAATTCCCGGAGAACAGACTCCCCGGGAGTAAGTATTTAGAATTTGGCTGTATATCTATGATCTCAATTGCTTATAAGAAAACTAATATTTATGATATCTTGAAATGTTATTCAAAATCAAATATTGGTATTCTTTTTGATAAAAAAGTCGAATACATTATTTTAAATTATGAGCTAAAATTAACGAGAATGACCAAAATGACCTAGTTCACTTAGGCGATTTGAACTAGATTGATCGATCACCAAAATGAACTAAAAGTCCTAACTCTACTCGGCAGCAGAGTGTCATAGCTCAATTGTGCCACCTCACTGAGCTGACTCATTGAAATGAGCTTGAGTCATTGAGTTAACTCGCTAAAATTCAGTGAGTTACCCAGACCTACTACCTGGACTGAGCTTAGTAGCAGCGTTCTGCTATCTTATTTACGAGCACATGCGCAAGCAAGATCGTTAACTCGTTTTTGTTCACCACTATGAGTCAGTGTTGCCCTTTTAGCCCTTTGGTGGTTAGATTTAGCTACCACATACTTTTTTTGGCCACATAAATTTAAAATTGTCCCTAGGCCTTTTTTAGCCCTTTGGAGAATTTATTCATACTTGGCATGAAAAAGTGGTATATGCTTAATTTTAGCTCATTTTTCTTTCATTTATGTAAGTGATGAATTTTTAAACTAAAGCTGGGATCCCACGATTGCCGCAATACACCAATTATTGCCTCATTTTATGCCCCAATCGTGTGATTTCACAATAAATTAACTCATGCGGCAATAGAGGCCGATATTGTGCTTACTGTACCCAATCAAATACGGCCCGGGTGCGGCAATCGTGTGATAGGGCGATTGACAATGATGTGTCAATAAAAATTTCAAAAATGCGGCAATTTTTATTGTGTTCTTGTGCGGCAATTGAATTGAACAATACACAACAACATTTACATTTTTTTAACTAATTTATATATTTTCCTCATTAAGTGTCCAAAAACTACATCCTTGCTTTCGTAAGTAACCTACCTTTTAATTTAATGTACATTCTAATCATAATTATTTTTTAAGCTTTAACATGGAGTCCGACGACGAAATCTTGGCTGCGATGGAAAATGCAGTGAGCTCCGAATTTTCAAGTGCATCCTAAGTGCATCAAAAAAAGGAAGAAGCCGAGTGTTACTTCATTGTGGGCTTATATTGCCATTAATGACTTGATACTAGCTGTAGAGGCGCACCCAGTATTTGGCAATATTCGTCCTCAGACTACAAAGATCGGACCAAAAGAGACCAAGCGTGGCGCGAAATTAAAAAAAATTTCTCGCATATACAGAGGAAGACTGCAAAGGGAAATGGGCCAATGTAAAAACGGCATTCCCAAATATAAAGAATAAAATACAGACAAAGTCTGGTCAGGGGGCAGAGAACACCCAACCACATTGGCCACACTGGAGCGCTATGCAATTTTATAATCGACATGACTTAACAAAAAGTACATACTCATTGTCAACATTAGATGCCCACGAAACACAGCCAGGCTGCAGCACTTCGCTAACTTCTTCCACTCATGAAAAAGGAAAACTACAACAAACCGACATACTGGAGCGTGCAGTCAAGTACCTAGAGGCAGAAGAAGACAATAGGCATACGATCGGTATGTATTTGGCATCACAAATGCGTGAAATTGCAAAAACAAACAGAAAGGCTGCTAAAAAACTGCACATAGATCTTGTAAAAACTGCAATGGAAGCTTCTTTGGAAGCAGACTACGACAATTAGTTTTGTATTATGTGAATATATGTACATATAATAATTTAATTTAATAACATGAATTACAAGAAATGAATTGAACAATTTGACTTTTATAGCTTACACTGTAAGAGTTTTCAGTTTTTTTCTGGGGAATAGTTTAGCCTAAGATTTTGTGAAAGCATAGATTTTATATATAAATGTATTTTCTCAATTTTCCCAGGCTGGCGATTTTAAATGTTTTTTTCAAATTCAATGTAACTGCAATTAATTTAAATTGGAGTATTGTTATGATCAAAAGACCTTTTTGGGATTTTGAGTGCGAGGAATCTGAATCTACAACATATTTTTACCGAAAACGGCAAAAGCAAAAGTTATGAAACCTTACCCAGGTCGAAACTTGACTGCAGGACAACGTATATTTAATTACAGGTTGTCTCGGGCAAGACACAATAGGCGAACTACCATGGCAGTATAAATTTATTTAAAAAAAAAAAACTTAAAAGTTCAATACAGCCCACGACAAAACGGTAGAACCTCAACATTTTGACCAGTCTTGACTATTTTTCTTCCACTTATTTAATCTTCATTATTTTTGTATAAAAGTATAGCTTATTGTCTAACAAAAACTGCATACATCCAAATTCCAAGCTTCATACAAAAATTATAAACATTTCTTAAACTTTTGAACACAATCCCACGGTTTTTAATTTGGATTTCTGGAAAAAAAATTGTTATGTATCTACGGTAGATGCTTATAGTAAGGTATATATAAATGAGTTTTTGAAAGGGGCGTCGCACATCCCACAGGCGTGAAATATGATGAATTTTGGTAAGGTTTGTATGCATGAGTATGTAAATGGGGAACGTGGAGCATATGCGTCGAATTTTTAGTCAGCCATAAATTGGGAACCATAATTCACATGAACTTGAAATTCGGTATGCAGACATACATATATATGGGAGTTGTTTAGAGTAAAGTATATATAAATGAGTTTGTAAAAGGGGGATGTATGTTGTATGTATTCATCAATTATGTATATCACTCGAATATTTAAAACGCTGTCTCACAGTCTTTATACCATTTCGAAGATTAAAACGTTTTTTTTTTATCCCGCGATGCTGTTAAGCGAAAAATGTTCATTCATAATGAACAAATCTCCTTCCGAAATAAACATTCTACCGGAAAAGTGGAGCTATACTAAAACAGTTAAGCGAATAGGCAGATAAACGGAATGTACCGTAGTACACTTATTTTAATTTAAAAATTCTATCGTTACCTTAATCCACCTATTATTAATAATGAAACCAGATTTGTAGTACAGAATATAATCACAAATATATAGTAGTTGAAGCACGATGAAGCTAAAAGTATGGTTCATAAGGATGCCTTAATTTAAACAGAAAGAAAATAGTTCGTCTCCTTTAATTAATGCTGAACTGAATATTTGTACTACTGTTTTATATTATGATTTGTTTTCCCCCGAACAACGTCGGATGCTCTGCTAGTATAATTATAAGATTTCAACAACAATAATAATATTAAAAACAAAACTGTTGCAACTTGAACTTCACATAGAACGTTGCAGTTATCGTCGAAAAATAAAAAACTATACACTCAAACTTCAAATATATACGTGAGTTTTCATTGGACACAAGTTTTTGCTGCTTTGCTTTCAAACAACAACAAATTTGCACATAATGAGCCCGCAATATACAAAGCAGATGCAATTGTTTTATTTTTTTTATTAGGAATACGCCATTTTTACACAACAGAGAAAAAAAAATAGAGTCAGAAGACAGCGCAACACCTTATGGTCACAATTGCCGCATGCGCGAACAATCGTGTGATAAGTTTGGCTTTTCGCGAACTTGCGGCAATCAGAATTATATAAAAGAGGCAACCGTGTGACTGTACAGAATTTCATTGGGAAATTATTTTTATTGTGCTCCAATACAGCAGAATAAAAATTGTTCCAGATTGGTGCATTTGAGGCAATCGTGTGGTCTGAGCTTAAGAAAGACTGATATACATATATACATATGTATATGTAGAGTATGTTCCTTACGTTTTTATATACGCTTAATTTGTTAAATGGCCCATCAAGTCGACTGACCGTGTATGTACTTGTGGTGTGATTATACCAGCTGCTGGTGCGAAGTCAAAAACTATTTGAACATTTTATGATTGTACCAGCATGCTGGTGTCGTGAGTGGTGAAATTAGCTCGTTTTTCCAAGTAAAAAGTATTTTGGCGGAAATGGCACTATATGAGTCAAAGCTGTGTTTGTGAAAAATTAAGTACACGATATTGCAGTTGTGACTTTATTGTATTTAACAAAATGGCAGAAAAGTTATGAAATTTCGTCTCTAATCATTTCGATCTTTCCTGGACCTCATTTGTAAAGAAATAAATATTGTACCAGCATGCTGGTAAGTTATATGCTTCGAGCCTGGTACAATCACTTGATGGAGCCAGCAAGCTGGTGGCGTATATTTTCCCTTTTATACAAAAAGGTTTTTGGTTGGATAAAACGTTAACTTTTTTCCAGAGTTCATTGTTTTTCTATACCACTACTTATTGAAAATGTTTGAGTGTATACTTATATATGCATATGTAAGTAAAAAAAATTTAGCTACCATTTTTAGCCACAACGACTTTTTTTAGCTCTTTTTAGCCCTTTTTTAAAGGAATTTGATATTTGCCGCACCATTTTTGTTGGCCTGTGTAATATTTAGCCGTAACTGGCGCAAACAGAAAAGCATTCGGGGGCTTGCATTTGCCTTCACAGAGACGACCAGTATTGAACAAAATTTTTTATATATTTTGAAAGGTGTTTTTTATCTGTAAATGAGAAGGTAATTGGCAACATTATTCACAAAACCGCTAGAAAGCCGGTTGGATAGTATTTTGCTATTATATACAAACAGTGTTTCATGTTAAGGGTTGAGATGCCTTTACATTTCCTAGACCTTTCCATGTGATGTTGA